ACAGCAATTCCTTTAATTGCACATGCTTCATAATTAATGCAAAGCAATTATTTTTACTTTGTATTATTGGAACTATTAACATTTTTTTTTATTTGCTATGTTATGGCTGAAATCCAGTTGCTCCAAGATGCTCACAAGAAGTCCTTATAGAAAGGAATTTTTGTTCTTGTAAGTAAAAGACCACAGCTCATGCACTGGGATGTTAGGCATATGTTATGCTGGCTTTCAAAAACTGCAACAGCACTGTGTTTCTCTTACTACTATGGTTCAGGGTCTGTGCACTAGATGCAAAGAGGTTGGGGTAGCAGTGCACATTTCCACAAAGCAAGCCCAATTACTCAAAACCTAGATGAAGACCATCCTAGAGTAAATCTGCATCAGATTCCTGTGTATTTAAAGAATAGTGTGAAACTCTCTTCTGTGAACACAGATGTCCAATTTAACCACAGTTAAATAAACATGTGCACAAAATCCAGTTTGTGTTGGGCTCACATACACTCCTGGCTCTTCTCATTTAGAATGATATGAATGAATAACTGTTTAAGACTAATTTCAGTTATATTTGATGTACAACACCAAGACACAGCCCAAGTGCAGGTAGCCGTCTTTTCACTATAAACCAGGATTAAACCCTGGTTAAAACCCCAGTTTTGGGACTAAAATTAACTCCAGATAATCTGTATATGTCAGTGTTGATTAGAGCAAGTCTCTAGGCAGTATTTCTTCATCACATTGTATGTGAGACAAAAAGAAGGATGAGCCAAACACCTTTGTAAACCTGGAACAAGATGAGTTTATGAACATTTTTAGTTTTTAGCTAAATTGGACATTTGAACACAGCACACAGAACTAGTGTAAAGTGAGAATGAGTTATTGACCTACCAGTCTATAAAGCTCTGTAATGCTGATCTCCTCTGGATCCACCATAGCATACTCTTTTCTTGGAACCAAGTCTAATCCCAGTTGTCTGCAAGCAAAGATTGAAAGTCTGGCTAGCGAGAAATATTCTAAAAACTCAGGATAGAGTTGTCCCAAAAACATATTTAGTAGGAATGTCTTGATTCAATGGATGTAGTGCTAATGTACAAAATATCACATATAATTTAATTATACATTCAAAAGTGCTAAAATATAATTTAAAAACCACAATCCTATGGTTCTGCATATGAGTACCTAATCCTAATATAAAAATAAATGTCCAGTCATATAAATGCAGGTTAAAATGTAACCAGCCTCCTAGGCCCGGAACCTGAGGTGGTCTTTCCCGAGAGAGAGACACCCCAAAACGACTTCTGAACCTCCACAAGCAGTGCCCTCATAAAGCCAGGCCTGGCTTAAACAGTGGCTTTTGCTGGGAAGCTAGGAGAACCACATCTTGGCTGGGAAAACTCAGGCCAAGTGAAGACTCTCCAGGCTGGCTGCACTGCCAAAGCATCCTCCATGCAAGCAAACCCCCCCCCCATGTCTATCCTATCAGCTCAGTCCAAAAAGGACTAGAATGGGCAAGTCTCTGCCCTTGCCTCAGGCATCTTCTACTGACCAAATGGCTAGTCTTTTGTCTCTTACATGTACAGGCAGGCAGGGACAAAGAGTATCCAGTCTGTGGTACTGTCATGAATGAAGTATGTTGCATGTTTGTAGCCCCAATTTCTGTTTCACTTTGGAATAATCCTCTGATTCTGTCTCCATATATTTGTCTAAAATGTCTGCATTCTTACACCTATGCCAGACCAACCAAGGAAAACATTAACTCTCCATGTCTACTGAATGGTCTCCCATTCAGGTTCATCCTGCCGCACATTAAGAAACATCACCTCTTTTGTCTGGCACCAGGGAAATGCCAGGCCACTCTATTGTTCCACAATGAACAATGCTTAGTGTGCTTATAATTACAGAAATTCTTCAATAAAACCTATTTAATTTACTTTTCAAATCTGGGGTCTTACTACTGTGCTGGAACTTGGTATACAAGTGGTGTATGGTCCTTATACCCCTCTAGTCCCCCCCTGCTGCATAGCTGATTTCCCTAAACAACAAGGCAGGCCATTGACGGTAACAAAAAGGTACAATTTATATCCATATACAGGAACCAATACTAAACACGTTTCAGCTAAAAGCCTTCCTCAGTGGCAAAATACCTTTTCCCCCTAAAATTTAGGAGACTTTTTAATTTGCAGTGATGTAATCACATGTTTTATGTATATTTTAGATCCATTGATATATGAAATATTGTACGGTCAGGGTCGCAAAATTGTCTCCCCCCCCCCCCCCGGTCCTAAGGATGTCAGGCTGGTATCGACTAGAACCAGGGCTTTTTCTGCAGCCGCTCCAACTTACTGGAATGAGCTTCCGGATGAGATCATGGGCCTGCGGGACCTTGCACAGTTCCGCAGGGCCACAAAAACGGAGCTCTTCCATCAGGCATTCAGATAAGGAGCCACGTTTTACCATCTACGCCCTGTACTAATCATATTTCCAGCCTGAGCCTGCTGATAGTGGATGTACCGCTGAATGCACTTTATCACAGCCGTATTGCCATCACTATGTTAATGATTTTAATAACTTATTGTGTATTTTATATGAATATCTATACTTTTTTTATCTATGGTTCTTGTGTAAACCGCCCTGAGCCTGCTTTGGCGGGGAGGGCGGGGTAAAAATCAAATAAATAAATAAATACATCTTGATGAGTTGCCCATATTGCATCTCAAGAATATTTATTACCACTTAGTCCACAAGTGAACATCTCAGTGTAAGTAAGGTAGTTATCCCAGTTCTATATATTTCAAAATATTTAAATTTTTAAAAAATTGTTGCTTAACAGACATATAATTATTCCACCACCACCTCTTTCATTTTAGGTCCATTCTGTGTACGATGAGTTTTATGTATATTTTTGTTAAATTTTGTTAAATTTACCATTTGAATTTTACCACTGAGAGAGGCTTTTAGCCTCACAGAATTCTCCAAAACCAACTGACAGTATCAAACAAGCCTTGCTGTACATTTCTTCAGCAAGACATAAAGCTGAACATTTATAGTGCAAAGTGCACCATATACATTACCGTTGTAATCTTTATAATGGAACTACACCATTATTTTTTAAACCAATACTCTCATTTCTCTTATAAAAGACCATTGATTTACAAATGCAAAAGAAACATAACTGGAGACTGAATAATGACAAAACTAAAGGAGGACATGGAGGGAAATAAGCAGCAGGGTCCCACAGCGATTGATCCTGGGGCCGGAACTATTTAATTTGTTCATAAATGATCTGGAACGATGGGCAAGCAGTCTAATGGCCAGGTTTGCAGGTGGCACAAAATTATTCAGGACCGTGAAAACCAAGGCCTACTGCAAAAAGCTCTAAGCAAACCTCCACAGATTGGGTGGGCAGGCAACAATGTGGCAAATGAAATTCAGTGTTGGCAAGTATAAGGTGATGCACATTGGAACAAAAAACCTCAGCTTCAAGTATAGGCTAATGGGGTCAGAACTTGCTGAAACAGAAAGTTCTTGGGGTCGTACTAGATAGTTCTATGATGGGGATTATTAGGAAAGGGACTGAAAATAAAATGGCCATTATTATAATACCCCTGTACAGTCCTATGGTGCAACCTCATTTGCAGTTCTGGTCACCATATCTCAAAAAGATATCACAGAGCTGGAAAAAGTACAGAAGAGGTCAACCAAAATGATTAGGGGGTTGGAGCATCTCTCCTATCAAGAAAGGCTGAAGAGTCTGGGACTTTGCAGTTTAGAAAAGAGACAACTAAGGGGGGGACATGATAGAGGTTTATAAAATTATGCAAGGGGTGGAAACAGTTAACAAAGTTAACTTTCCCCAAAATGCTAGAACTTGAGGGCATCCGATGAAGCTGATGGAGCCCTGAATTAGAATGCAAGGGCTGACATGCTCTAAGCCACACTGCCTCTCTCTATAGTAATATTGGGATGCAAAAAGCCCAGCGGGTTCATTTTTCTGTCATGCAGCCTATCTGGAATAGGGATAAGCCGGCTGGCTTTTCAAACTCTGTAAGGTACTGTCAAGATCAACAGGAACCCTACCTGGCAACTTTCAGATCACATTCAACATCAACACCTTGCTCTATGAATTTTTTATTTACAGAACAGGCAACACATTATGCATTTAGTAACAGAAAAGTGTAAGGCTTTGATACAGCACAAGTTTAGCAAGCTCACACACAGGAAGAAAAAAATGCTTGTTTGCTCTAAAAATTCTAACATGACATTTGATTTACTCAATGTTTCCAAACAAGTATTCAGATGAACAAAGGCATGCATTTAAATGCTTTTTGCTTGTGTGTTAGGTTTTGTTCCTGGTTTATAAGTGCACTTAAGAATGGATTGGGTAGAAAGTAATCTTGCTGTGGTCATGGCAGAATGAAACTGAATCTTGGTGTAACAACCTTAAAAGATGCCGTGTGAATGAGGTTGCAGATCTGATAAGATTAATCGGATGAGATTAATCCAGTTCTGCTGAGGAACATGTGTACATTGCAAGTTACACATCTGTAGTGTATTGTTCAGGCACTTCATACTTGACTGGCATCCTCCAGCTTATTAGCATTCATGTAGGAAAGGAACATGGCTACAAGCACATGGTTGGAATATTCACATCCAATTATTCCGATGAAAAAGGCATGCATTCAAATGCTTTTTGCTTGTGTGTTAGGTTTTGTTCCTGGTTTATAAAAGCTCTTAAGAATGGACTGGGTAGAAAGTAATCTTGCTGTGGTCATGGCAGAATGAAACTGAATCTTGGTGTAACAACCTTAAAAGATACCATGTGAGTGAGGGTGCAGATCTGATGAGATTAATCTAGGTAATTAAAATTCCAAATGGAGATGGAATAATAAGCTTTTATAAATCACCACCACAAAAGGCCCCTTATAGATTCATCCAGTAGGGCTGAAGTTCATTCCTTTGGTGCAATCCAGTTCTGCTGAGGAACAATGTGAACATTGCAAGTTACACATCTGTAGTGTACTGTGCAGGTATTTTGTACTTGACTGGCATCCTCCAGTACGTTATCACTCATATAGGAAAGGGACATGGCCACAAGCACATGGTTGGAATATTCATACACAGCCCCCAATGGCATGAGACACATCAGTGGGCAAGGGCTCCCATAATATAAAAGAGTCAAAGTTGTAGGTGATATTCGGCAGTAAGGCCTCGTTAGGCTTTCCTTTATGAAAGATGTCTTCCTATCAAAAGCTATTTTCCTGAAGAAACCCACCACTCAGAAAAGTTAATTTCCTTGTTAGCATAAACAAAGCAACTGAAATAAAGCATCACCACCACTTTCATAGGTGCTTTAACAAGTCATCTCTTACTCACTCATTGCCCCAGTCCAAGCGAGCTGTGATGTGCCGTTTGACATCCTTCATCCTATCATGGGTAAGATGGCCCACTAGTACCTGACGTCGTAGGTCTAGGATTTCGTTCATTATGTGCCATAGTCGGTGAAAGAGGTCCCCTTCATTTCTCTGTCAAATGCATAACCAGATCCTTAGGCTATCAAAGTCATTAAGCCGAGTGCATTTTTTCCTACAAGGTCATCCCTGACCTCCGTTAAGGGCTCTGCCCTGCCTGCCCCCTCTCCCATTTGCTTCCCCAGTTATCAAAAAGTGGACAGACTGTGTTAGGAAACAGGATATAGGTAATTTAAGGATTACAGTATCTATGCTGAATGAAAATTGTCAGACTCTTTTAAAGCAAACAAACAACAAAAATCTCTGTAATGCAGTATCAGATGTGATAATCTGTCTACTTTTTGCTCAAATTTTAAGACCGCTGCTACATTATTAGTTAGACAAACATATTGTACCAGCTAATATCAATTTTGGTCAGAGCCACAATCACTTCTAGGATCACAGCAGGCAACACATTAAGAAGGTAACATTGTTACCATATATAGTTAGGAAGATGTGTGTGCTAGTCTCATCTCAATGTGACTGTTACCCTCTTTCCAACCGGAGCCCAAATCAACACCAAACTAGCCAAAAAAAGGGGGAAAACCTTCCCTCTATACCATCTCACTGAAACTTTGGCTTAGGATCTATACCCCTTAGGATCTATACCCTCTTTAAGGAATACCCTCAGTTAGGGAAGTGACCCACACAACATTATTAAAGGATTTGTTAACACAGTGGCTAGGTGCTTCTACAAGCTTTGAAGGAACACTGAGAATCCAGGTAGATTGAACACACAAGTTTATTGAGTGAAACTTTACAAATATCTGGGCTGGATAATCAGCAAATTCAAGCTATCAAAATAATATAAAAACATTCAATATCAAACATTCAGTGCCCAACCCTAGAAAGCCTACTAAAAAAAGCAAAATAATACAAGCACCCACCCAACTTTGCAACATGCTCCTGTCAAGGGGTTGGGGCGGAATTCAAGAGACCAAATTGGTAGAGCAAGAGAAGACATAAAAATGACCATAGCTGTCTGTCTGTTTATACAGTGGTGGCTTGCCACCCCACTACTGCTATCAGCGGACAAGTAGCCCATAGCTATTCAGTGTGACAACTGGTTTCAATATAGATCTATTGCTCAAGGAGTGGGCACACTTATGGACAAGGAATTAACCTTCTTACAGTACATGTGATATGACTGTAAAATCTATACTGAATATGCCATCCTGCAAGTACTATTTTAGCGCTTTGAATTCTTTATAAAGTCAGTCTTTCTGCCACTTCTGTGCATCAAAGCAGATTTTTCTTTTGCAAAAAACATCTGCTTGAAGGTTTATCTCAGATCAAAGATGCAAGCCATTTTTAAAGAAGTCAGTTTACCATACTCGTGTTAGACAATCTTCCCATTCTGTTCTCATCTAAAATTAATCTAGCTGACTGAGATTTCAGACTTTCTGCTGTTATTTAGACCCTTCTGTTTATGGGTGATACCGAAAAGCTGTGCTTTATTTTAAACCAGGTGGGGCAACCTAACTCCCATGAGCAGCTTCCCTTCTGGATAACAAAACTTGCACACAAAATGAGTTCTACTTAAGTGGCAGGCAGTGCCTATGTTCTGGCTGTGACAAATGTTAGAGGTGTTTAGCTTGATTACAGTCTGTCATCTATATTTTAAAAATTGAACAGATGCCCCACCTACTTTAACAAAAGTCATCAAGCTGATGTTGAGAAGAAAAAGAGTAGAAAAGCAACACATCCAAAAGCAGGTCTTTTAACATACATTACTAAGTATCTGTCCTCACTATTTGTAGGGTATCTAATTTTTAAAAAATATTTTGTTTATCTGGAAAATACAGTCGATACTTTCAAACTGGGTCCCAGAGCACTCTTACCACATAAAGTTGTTTCCACATTGTGCCCCAGTCTCTTAAAGTTGATGTCATCTCTGTGATAACAGAGTCTTCTGTCGGGACAACCATTTCAAATTGCCTGTTGAAATCAGATTATTATTATTATTATTATTATTTTTAAAAAGTACTACTCTATCATGTCATTTTCAGCAGCATTAAGAAAGAAACATACAAATGCTAGAATTGATGATGATATATGGGATTTCCATCAGCTTTGGGAACTTCCAGTTGTAGGAACATACCTAACAGACAGACCAAGGCGCTCACCATAATAGTCCCAGAGTTTCTATCAAAATCAGTTGTTGCACTGGAGGAACAAGCATTCAGCTTGGTTGACACTAGTATTCTGAAATATTATAATGAAGGGGGGTTGGGGGGGAGGAAAAGCAAGGCTACGGAGTGCACCCAGCTTGCCAGCAGCATCGGGCCGGCGACGTGGAAAGTTGCTGGGGAGGGGAGGCAGGTGGGCAGGGAAGGAAGTGCCAGGTGGGCTGGCAGGCGAGTGGGCGTCTGCATCTAGACGGTGCCCAGAGCCTCCTCATGGAATGCTCGCGGTTCGGGGAGGGATGTGTTTCCCCTCCAAAAAAAGACTGTTTTATTTATTGTAGAACTGGTCAAAAGCAAGGTAGAACAGTAGGCTACACTCAGAAAATATGTTTAAACAGTAACAATTATACAACCATTTGTCAACAATGTCCTAGCAGTGCTTAAATCAACTGTACAGAACCTATGTGTGTCAACTAACCTTATAAGGCACCGAATGTATATATTATACTACAATTGTCAACAGTGATAACATTGAGAGCTTATATGGAAATATGGTCATCACAACTGCTAATTATATCATCTTAGCCATAAGTGAAAAGTTTAAATTTAGCCTCGTTCAAATCCATCTTATCTGTTTCAAGCTTATCTATAACAGGATATCATATATCTAATGGGTTTGAGAAATCACTGGTGTCACATTCCTTGCTAGTGATCATGGAAATTTTTTCAAGTAGAAAGAAGTCCCCCATCTTATGCAACCACATTTGGATTGTGGGGGGTGTTTGCACTTTCCAAGTTTGCGCAATGACTACTTTAGCGGCTACCAACAACAGATTAATCAGCTGTTTTCTCTTAACAGGTGGACTGTCGATTGGCCACAGATGCAATAAGATCAGCGCTGGAACCAGAGGTAAGGGGTATCCTGTTAATAATTCTATTTGTTGTGTTACTTGTTTCCAGAATTGGGATATAGTTGGGCACTCCCACCAGTTGTGGAAAAAAGTTGCTTTGTTTCCACACTGCTTCCAACAAAGTGGAGAGGATTGAGGGTATATCTTTGATAGTTTTGCAGGAGTGAGATACCATCTGTGGGGAACTTTGAAGGCAGACTCCTGGATTACTTGAGATTGGGATATTTTTGCGTGCGACAGCCATATAGCATCCCAGGGGGTGGGAAGGAGTTGTTGTTTGATGCCTTTTTGCCAAGTGCCTTGGTAGCTCAGATTTTTGGTTCCATGTATATCTAGCAAAATACGATATACTTTAGATATCAGCCCTTTGTTGCTTTCATAATTCAGCAACAGTTGTTCAAAGCCCACAAGTGCTTTAGTGAGATTGGCTTTTATCTCAGAGTCCTCGAAGAGATGCTGGACTTGGAGGTATTCAAACCATGCCAACTTGACATGGTGTTTCTGTTCCAAGTCTATTTTGGGCACTAGTCTACCCTTTTTTAGTATATGCACTATTCTGGTGATTCTTGCTTTCTTCCATATCTTGAAAGAGTCCTGCTCCATGGCAGGTAAGAACCAACTTTGGCCAGTGAAGGTGCTAAGTCTTGACCGCATCGCCACAAGTTTCGGTCTGTACTTAAGCCAAACTTTGAGGGTATCAGTCACAAATGGGTTTTCTGTGTCCAGCCATCTTGGCTGCTGTTTACTTCCCCATAGGAGCTCCTTGAAGTTGGATTGTTCAAAGGATGCTTCTTCAATCGCTTTCCATCCTAACACTTCAGAATCATGGTATTGTCTAAGAAGATTGGATAGAGCTGTTGCAACATAGTAAAGGTGAAGGTCAGGAACAGCTAGGCCTCCTCTCCGTAAAGGTCGATGTAATGTCTCGAATTTGACCCTAGTTTTTTTTAAAATGCCACAGAAACTTCGTGAAAGTGCGCTGCCATTTAAATAATAGTGAATCTGGGATATAAACTGAGATTGCTCGGAAGCAGTACAGGAATTTGGGAAAGATTAATGATCTTAGGGTGTTGATTCGGTCGAGCCACGACAGCGTTTTATAGTTCCATTTTTTCAGTAGCGATTGGATTTCTTTCTCAATTTGAAAACAGTTAACTTTAATGAGGCCAGCTAGGTTCAGTGGTATTTTGATACCCAGGAAGGACATCTGAGTTTTAATCCACTGGAAAGGAAACAGTTCTTTGATTTTTGCTGTGATAGTAGTAGATAGATTTATAGGGAATAGTAGTGATTTTGCTTGACTGACCTTTAAGCACGCCACATTTTCATTTTTTTCCAACACTCGTTCGATTTCAGATAGTGTAGTTTCAGGGTTGGACACATATATAGTAAGGTCGTCAGCGAACAGACTGACCTTGTATTCCAAACCACCGACCTTGATACCGTTGATGTTAGGGTTCTCGGGAAGAGCTGAGGCTAAAGGCTCTATGACGAGTGCAAATAGCAGGGGAGATAAGAGGCATCCTTGTCACGTGCCTTGATACAATGGTATATTTTTAGAGATGGTCCTGTTGATCAGAAGATTCGCAGTAGGTTTAGTGTAGATAGCAGCTATTGCTCTTCGAAAGGTCTCTCCAAAGTTCATGTGTTGGAGTAGGGAATCCAGATATTTTATCTTAACCATGTCGAAAGCCTTTTCGATGTCCAAGGTTAGTAATAAGGAGTTACATTGTGGTTGAGTCTTTCTGTAATGGATAATGTTAAATGTCTTCCCGATGTTATCCATAATATTCCAGGCAGGGATAAAGCCAGTCTGATCTTCCTTGATGTAGTCACCGATAATCTGTTTCAGTCTGTTCATGAGAATTGCTGCAAATATTTTGTAATCTGTATTCAACAGGGATATCGGGCAATAGGATTTAGGGTCAGTAGAGTCCCTGTCTTTCTTTGGAATCAGGATCACATTAGCTACAGTCCATGTTGTAGGAAGCACTCCTTCGGTCAAGACTTTATTAAATGTTTCTAGTAGGGGATTTGCTAAAATTGGCTGAAAGTCTTTATAGTAGTCGGAATGGAACCCATCGGGACCAGGAACTTTATTTCTTTTTAAGGTTTTAATAGTGCTCTCAACTTATTGCAATGAGATAGGAGTTTCTAGTAGTGCTTGGTGGTCAGATGAAATTCTTGTGGTTACAACTTCCAACTCCAAAAATTCATTTATGGCCTCTTTTGCCAGTTTCAGTGATGTATAAAGTGACGCATAGAAAGACTCTATCACTTGCACGATCTCGGCAGTTGAGGTCTCGATACTGCTGTCCGGGTTTTGGATGTTATTGATATAGCTATAATCTCTCTGTTGTTTAAGTCTCCTAGATAATAGACAGAGCTGGAGAGGTCCTGCGAATGTGGAATCGCGTCTCATTTTGAGGTTGTTTCTGGTGTTTGCTGTTGTTTCAAGCAATTCTAGGTGTTTTCTGGGGTTTAAAAGACATTGATAGATCTTTGGGTTGCAGCTTAGTCTTTGGTTTGTTTCCAGTTTCCAAATTGTAGCTAATAGTTCAGTTTTTTCCTTTGCTCTCTCTCCTTTCTACAGGCTGCCATTAGCAAGATGCATTTACCGTGTATGACCGCCTTTGACGCTTCTCAAACCATCATGCTGGAAACCCTGCAGTGTTGATTAAGACAGAAGAAGTCTTGAAGTTCCTGTTTGATTTCTTGTTTTGCTTTTGGATCTGTTAATAAAGATTAAGTGACCACATTGGTTTTGTCATATTTGGTTTGTCTTTACAGAGAATACATCCGATTGGTGCATGATCGGACCAGCATTGGAGACCAATTGTGGATGATTTAACCAAGGGGGGCAGTTCTCTGGAAATACAAATGTAGTCCAGCCTTGTGTAGATTTTATACTTAGGTGAAAAGTAGGAATAATCCCTTTCATTAGCATGTTTATGCCTCCAGATATCACAAAAGTCATGGTTGTTGATTATTTGCTCATGTAAGCTAAGTGACTGGGTGTGCAAATGTTTTCGTTTGGGGGCTAAGCGGTCAAGCTGCTTATTCATTAAGTAATTAAAGTCTCCTCCTACAATGATGCTGCCTTTTTGAAAGTGATGTAGTTTATAAGAACATAAGAACATAAGAGAAGCCAATGTTGGATCAGGCCAATGGCCCATCTAGTCCAACACTCTGTCACACAGTGGCCAAAAATACCAGGTGCCATCAGGAGATCCAGCAGTGGGGCAAAGTTTAAACAAAGTGTCTTTCACAAACTAGATTTGTCCTTTATTGGGCACATAGACTTAGGCCAGCGTCATTAAAGAGCCATTAAGGTTACCCCGAATAAAAATAAATCTGCCCTCGGTGTCTTTTTCTATTGCTTCCAATGTGAATTTAACATGTTTTGAGAGTATAAGGCCACCCCCCGTGACTTGGAGTTGCCACAAGCTAAATATTGAGTGGGATACCAGTTAAGAGATCAGGGTTTTGTAGCTTTTCCCCAGATGAGTCTCTTGCAACAGGGCAATATCGGGTTTTTGGTTTTTGAGATCAGCAGCCGCTCCACTCCGAGAAGGGATGTGTGATCATCCCAACCCGAAAAAAAATATTCCTGATTAAATTTATAGCAGGAACAAATCACAATTACCTTGTTGTGTGACCACAGACCTTAAAGGCACTACTGAATCAAACAAGTTGCTGAGGGGGAGAAAGGAGGGCACACATGGCTTCCCCATCATTTCCAACCCCCCCCCCCCCCCGAAGAATTAAAACTTTGTTCGTCTTAAAGACACTACTGGCTCAAACACATTGCCGAGGGGGAGAAAGGAGGGCACTCACGGCCTCCCCCCACCTCCAACACACTTTGAAGAAATAAGACTTTGTTGAAGGCACTACTGATTCAAATACTGATTCAAGGGGGAGAAAGGAGAGCACGCACAGCCTCTCCCCCTCAACTCCATCCTTGGCTTTGATACCACCAGGCTCCACAACATGCAAACACAACAGTGCTGGCTGCCCAAGGGGAGAAAGTGGAAAGGGCAATTCACTTCTGTTCTGTCCTCCTGTGGTGAGGCAGGGCTGTAGGAGGAGGGTGATGATGTGGGCCAGGAAGCAGGTGGCCACAGATTGTGGGAGGCAGCAAGAGCGAGAACTGCCAGTGCCAACACCCCCTTTATAGGGCCCACAGGCTCTGGGCCGAGGGGTTGGGTGGAGCCAACCCACAAGGACCCCTGTGCTGAACTAATGAGCTCTGCACTGGGGGAGGGGTGGAAATCAGTGCGCCAGCCTAGGCTGGTGCACGTTAGAGGGAACCCTGGTTCAGACACATGCTATCTAATCTTCTGACTGCAAGCAGAAAACTGAAGGCTTACAAATTCTTTTCCCTTCCTTGTATGCAAATTCCACCTCCATCACTAACTGTACTGCAGCATTTTACTAGCACTAATCATGGTGAGCTCAAACTATAGCTTGCAAATCATGGCCAGCAAAAGGGGAAAGGTGTTTTAGATGTATTGCAGCACCACAGTTTGTCTCACCAATCAACTGGAGACAGAGGAAAAATGCAAGTGAGAGGGAAGGTGGGAGAAATAAGATACGGGAAGGATTGCACAGAGCACACCCCACCCCTTTATTGTGCTTTAAGGATCCATAGACTCTTTGGCATTTTAACATCTTTATCCATCTGAAATAGGACTACCTCATCAACCTGCACTTTTCCCACTGCTCCCCAGCATTTGCTAAATTCTTGAAGTCAAAATTTCCACCTACCCTTTGTTCTTAACACATGCATTTTTCAAGTGGATATAGTTAGATGGGAAGATACCCTGAAAAGAGAACAGAAATCACTAAGTAAATGCAAAAATAAGTTAACAAGCCACCGAGAACAGAGATAAAGCTTGGCATAAGCAAATTATTAAAGAGAAAGCTGTGCTTACATTATAGAAGAGCTTTTCAAAAACAGCATTCTTACTGATGACAAGCTATATAAGATATTCCACAGATGCAGTAAATATGACTGGTGAAAACAAATACAGTATAACATTTATGCCTTCAACTCATCAGAAATGGGACATTCAAAAGGTCGGGGAAATCACTGGAGATGAAATCTTACTCATGATAATTCCAATGAAACTGGAAATCTACAAGTCTGGTTGCAAAAGAGCAGCAATATTGCACTACCATTTCAGAAACTTTCTGTGTTTATCACACAATCCATAAAAGACAATAGCAAAGCAAACCTACATTTTATACCCTAAATCTCCCTCTCATCTACTCTTCCTTATCTACCAGCTTGTTAAGCCAGAGCTTCATGACTTAACTACACATTATGTTTTCCTCATGGTCTCCCTAGGTCCACAGTATGAGTTGTACATTGCTGCAAGCTCCGTTCTCAGACACATGTGGGCCTCACTGAAATCAGGACTTCGTTTTCTCCCCGCCTCCCCTGCTATTTGCTCCTTAGAGGAAACTTATCAGTAGCATATCAGTATATGTGGTTTCTTTTCCCCACATGCTGCAGTCATGATCCAAATCAGCCCATGTATACATAGAAATTAAGTTCCCAGACAGAATTCACAATGCCCGTCTGATCATGAGAACCCAGGTGAGAGAGATACAAGGGAATAATGTGTAGGAAGGGCTCAGTGTCCAACAGCTGAGGCTAATGTACCCTCAGTTGTTATTCAAAAGCTAACCTGAGAAGAATAGAGAACAGTCTCTTTCTCAGCCTTTTTCTGCTATTGATAGCTTCGTCTAGCCTTATAAGTGTCTTCAAGGTGTTTACTGTAGCAACCTGGGTTACTTGAGCTAGTTTACTCAAGCTGCCTTTGGGAAACCCAACCCCCCTCGTGCTGGTCATACTCTAGCTTATGTTCCCTGGCCTCTTCAGAAAAATGGCACCAAGCCATCCCTCTTACTTTGCATGCTCATGTACTATAGCACATGTGAAGAGTGATGGCCCAAGAACCAATCCAGAGTGAGATCATCTCCAATGAGTGATCTATAGGTCCCAAACCCACAAACTTGTGCTTGTCCTTCCTCCAAATTCTTTTCCTAATGACACCAAAGGCAGTCTCTCACAGGTCCCAGTTTCCCTCCTTTTTGCAAAAATGTATTCTTTTTAAAAAAGTCATAGTTGCAGAGTTATGCTACATAATATACTGAGCTGTCACAGAAAATATAAATATTCTCTCTACAACATTTCATAAGAATATTTCAAAATGACTTTACATGCATTCCCCCCCCCCCTCTCTCTCACACACACACACACACCAGATTTATACATGGGATGTTGTCTGTACCTTGAGATTTGGGTTCTTTAAGGCAAATCCTCTGTACCAACCTGCAGAGAAATAAAAATTTATCTTTGAAGCAATATATTGTTTTCTCTTATACATTGTCTACAGTAACAAAAAATAGCGCAGAGATTCACAGGGTGCAGTCCCACTACCAGTTATGGATGGCAAAATCTCATATACATCAGTGTTAAAGACTGTTAGCCCCCCTCCCCCCCAAATTTCTACTTCGCTGGACATATATTAACGAGCTTTGGTATACAACGAGCACCTCTAAACTGGAAGATGGTATGAAGAAATGCAATTTTGCTTCGGAGGTCTGAAATGAACAAAACCTTCGCTCTGAGTTTTAAAAGTTTTCTTTTCTCTCTGGGAAAAGAACAGGCAGAGGCAGGAAGGAGGGAAGTCACTTCAATTGCTTTCCAGACTTGCCTCAGTCCACCTTCATACAAATGCCAACAGATCTAAACAATGAAATGGTCAAGCTCTCCTTTCCCAAGCAGGGAGCAGAGATTTGGAGGTATTAAGTACTAGAAAGACTTCAGAAAGAAACGTCTGGAGACTTCAGGAAAGCTTTTTTGACCCAGCCTGACTGGTCAGTGGGTGGGGAAAAGAGGAATTATAAAAGTTCTGGGAGCAAGGAGGAATTTCTCTTTGGTGCTGATTCCATCAAAGCAGTCAGAGCTCTTAACTGAGGTCTGGAGGAGATGACCATTGCCATGTGCTGGCCTGCACACCTGAAGAAGGCTTGAAAGTAATAGAACTCCTATAAAAATATGTAACTTTCTAAGCTAAGGAGCCTGCCTTATATTTAACAACAGACAGGTAATATATAGAGGGAAGGACAGGGGAATTGCATTCTACCCTTTTCTTTTGAATCCCTCACTCAGTTTAGTGCTGTGCTAAAAGTACGCTTGTGAACATTTTCTTTTTAATAGATGCTTTATAACTTTTGATCCTGGTAGTGGTTCTCTATGCCACATAGACCTCCACTTTCTTTGACACACTATTTTAAAAGGAACACCAGAAGGAAGGGGAAGGCAGACAGGTGGAAAGTGGCTACTCCTCGAGTGCTGCAAAAGGCAGTAAACGGTCTCCGTGGTAACCAGATTTGAGGTAGTGGGAGACACAGAGGCAAGGTATTAGAACTTGGAAGGGAAGCTGGAAGTCGCAACCCTCCCAGTGGCTAATTCTTACAAAGGTCAGGTGGTGGCAGCAATTTCACAGAGAGGGAGAAAAGCCTTTTCAGGTGTTGAGAAAATCCAGGAGGGCAGGGTGGGACAGGGCCTGCAAGCCCGAGTGGGTCTGTTCTGCCATGCATGGTATAGAAGAACATGTGCATCAGTTGTTAGATCCTTGAAGCAAAAGAATCCCAGAATCCCGTGCCATTGCTAAACCCACACTAGTTGCTAGAATATTGCCTTTAGAGTTAACCTGAAGTATCATAAGCAATCATCAATAAGGATTTTGTCAACCAACATGGGGGGAGGGTTCCTCTTAACAGAGATGGGGCAGAATAGAGCTAAAATAAAAAAACCCAGAGCATAACTTGCTGAATAGATCTGCTTTCCTCACAAGTATTTAGATCTTTAGTCACACATAAAAACAGGAAAGGTATCTTTAGTCTGGTTACAATGTTTTTTATATCTTGGCTGCTTTCCTCAAATCATTAAGGGTACTGTCTTGATTTCAGATCCAGAATACAATGCCTTTTACCAAAATTCCTCATGACTCACGAATCTCTGAACATGACTGCCTTTTGCTTGAGGAGAAAGTAAAGCCTGGCTGAATTTTTCAATTAAATGGGCTCATCTCCTGCAAGCATTAGTTATGAAAGATACTGCCTCAATGTAATTGAGTGAAATGACCTCAAAGTCCCTTACCACCGAACAGTTCTGTGCTAATGTCAATACTTACCATCACATTTCTCTAGTATTTGAACAGTGTCTCCAATCTCCAGTGATAAGCCATGAGGGACAGTTCCTCGAAAACCCGCAATTACTGTAAGAGAGGTAACATTCTAGTTAATCACACTTAATATAAAAAAGTACCATATTAAACTTTCACACCATAAGGAAAAGCATGCCAGTTAATGAGCAGGGTTTTTCTCTCCTCTAAAACTCACAGTGCTGTAGGCGATATCAACTATAAATATCACATTATGGGGATGGCAGGTAGAAGATAATAGCCTATTATTCCTTTATGCAGGAAAAGGAGGGAAGCTTTGCTTAACAATAAGCAAGAGAATTTATCAAGAAAGCATAGAACTGGAGACTTCCCCCACACATATCCACAAACACATACAGTCTCTATATTTCACTTTGCAAACAGTATCAATATATCTATATTAGAGTAGGCAGCATTGTGGATGAATGATGAACGGTCTTTTTATGAAACCAGGCAAGCATCATGACAACTAAATTGTAGTCAACCTGTAAGGGCAAGAAAGAACTTGGTTCTCAATGGCCACCCTATTTAATTCACTTCTAGGCACCAACCTGTTAGAAAGAAACACATTAATAAGGATACAGCCAATTAAAAACCCTAGGTATAATTATCAGAATCTCATTTCTAAATGTTTCTGTCTTCATGACCTTATGAAACCTTGCATCATGTAAAAGACTTCAGAGAGTCATGGTTCAGGGCATTCTTGCTGGTGGCATCCATAGTTGTCAGACCCCGGTCCAGTTACACTCAATAACTCCCGCTTTGGCAGTGATAAGTTTATTAGAGCATATGCAAGATCCAGAAGTCACTGTGTCAGAACGAAAGACTTTTGGCAGGTACAATCTTATTATAGAAAATTCAGGCAGGTCCCATCCATCCCCCAAGCACATGTCACACACACACTCCACCTAACATTGCCATGCCAACCAGAAGAGATATATGTCCTGGTAATCTAGAGTCCAAGATGGTACAAGAACGTGTTCAAGGCCACCTTCCCCTGGGAAAGCCGAAGGAGGAGGGGAAGGGGGATAGACTTGTGGAAAAGTTACATCTTCTAAAAGCAAAGGTCTCAAGCACTCCCGCACTCACTCCCCCTCAGGAATAAAAAAAAGGAATGCCCTCCCCCCAAGAATTATGGCAACACAGCAAGCAGAGTGGAGCAGGGTTTGATAACAGTGTACCATAGTTGGCCTAGGGAGGTTTGTCTTTTCCACTGGTTGAATGCATCTTTCAGAAGAATGAAGACTTTCCTATACATACAAATTTAGTGATAAGACTGCTTTTTATCAATTTTTTTCGTGTTTGGGGGTGCATTGCAATTGATTTTATGGGTCTTTAACTGATTTTGGTCACCCACGCTCTTTGTGGAAGAGCCACTAATAGACACAGACAGAGCAGAAGCTCAAGACCGGAAACCCAAGTCTTGATAGAAACTTTTAGGGAAGTTGAGAATGATGAGTCATGACCTGAGGAGTGAATCCTCTTCTTCCTCCTTGATAAGAAGAAACTTTACATGCATTATAATGTGGAATAAAGATGTAGAGAGAAACAAGAGTGATCAGGATATGAATACATTATGGTCATGAAACTAGAGCAAAGCCTGCACTATCTCTATAAGCACACAGACAGAACAGGATAGAAACTTCAATTAGAAGCTTCAAAAAAGTTCAGAAAATGAAACTGTGGATGCAGGCAGAAAGGAAATCCATCAGACTGGCTGAGAAAGCAAGGGTCTAAAAATGAGGAAGCATCTGTGGAATTGCAGATGTGTACAGAGAATTACTTATCAGCCCAATCAAGGAACTGCAATGATATTTCAAGTCCCAGCTACATGACAAATTGTCTTGAAAGTACCAGCTGCTCTCTCAAAGAAATGGCTTGTGAGCAAGTCCCACAATGGAAAGGCGTGTGTGTGTGCACGCGTGTGTGTGCGTGCGTGCAAGGTTAATGGCATCCTGAAGACACTTCCTCTTCTACCAGTTATGAGCTGTACAAAACAAGTTATCTTTGGAAAAAAACTCAGAAAAGAATTCTGAAATCATCCAAGCCTTTACTTGGGTATATTTTAAATAACACATGAATTTGCATACAATATACTACAAGAATGTACTAAGTAGTCTATATTAAGGTAGTGTGTTCCCATGATCATTTAAGAATCACACTCCACACAGTTAAACTGCATGCTTTTTCTGAACCCATGTCTCAAAGGTACCCTTTTCAAAGTTTAGTAGAAGAAGTGGCAGATTTCAGCAGAGAGAGAAGAATTCCCAGCAAGATTCAAATGCTCTGCAATACAGTCAAAATCAAATTGCTAAATAAAGGAGGTTTTTTGGTCATCTTCTGGGCATGGAACAGCAGTCACTGGGTGTGTGGGAGGGAGGTATTTGTGAATGTCCTGCATTGTGCAGGGGGTTGGACTAGATGACCCTGGAGGTCCCTTCCAACTGTATGATTCTATGAATACATTTTAAGAATATTTTAAAATGCCTTAACTGTAGCAGTTAATTGTACTGTAGCAGTGATTTCAGCACACAGGAGCTGTGCACACTTTTTTTGTCCTGGAGTAAAGTATGCATCTCTGAAGTTTGTTTTCACACTTAATAGTCTAAAAAGTACAGCCATGTAATGTGTATGAGCTGGTCCTTAGCACCCCTTATACATCAAATACCATACTCCAATGTCTGTATACACAGTCCCTAAGCATCTAATCAATAGAGGAAAATATGACACTTGTTGACGCAGTGGGACAATCTGAAGATACTTGTACTTTTAGCTTAGTTTTCAATTCTCAATGTTTTCAAGCATGGTAGACATCAATACTAACATAGGCCTCATATCCTGGAATTTTTGGGCACTGTGTGACAGAGTATTAGACTAGATGGGCCATTGGCCTGATCCAATGTTGGCTTCTCTTATGTTCTGATGTTCTCTCTGGAAAGAGCATTCTGAAATCTCTTTTTCTGCTGCAAGATGTCCAGTCTCCCCCAAGAAAGCTCTCAAGACCTTGTGCTCTATTCCATATGTGCAGAACCATTATATATGAATAATCTCCACTAATGTGATCCATCCACTCCACCCCCTCCCCATAAAGAAACCTTTCAGGACTATGCATTTTAGATTGAGGAGATTCCCACACACTTGTGGTTGGGCTCAAGGAAGGCAAGGTTGTAATTGTTAGTAATAACTATGAGATTTGCAGTCTTTCACTTTAAGGGCTTGTTCTTCCCAGTTTAATAGAGTTACTGAGATTCAATTTTATCTAATCTGTCATCCTTCAAGTGATTACACAGAATACATTAAAACATTTCAGTATGTCTACATTGCAACTTGAGGACATATATATTGAGCTTTCCCCTCTCTTACTTTTTATTTCAAGTACATTCTTTTAAATGTACTGGATAAGGTAGTATTTTTAAAATAGCCTCTCAGCCTCTGGAACACAACTAGGTTCATCCACCCATCCTGATGTACTTTATAATAGACTGGCACTGACCACACAGCAATGGAATCATGTAACATGATTCCCTGGGGGATCGACCAAAGACCCCGAAGGCTCTCCAGGCGGGAGAGTGGGAGGAGCTAGAAAGCACTTTGTCCAGTGAGAAGGAACTACAATGGTCAGCGGGAAAAGGGCAGGACCTGTGGTAAAGGGCGCTAACTGGCGGGTCTGAAAGTCACCCATGCCAGAATCATCTACTGAAGAAGGATCTGGGACCCTTGAAGTGGAGACCTCGTCCTGCATCTCCCCCTCCCCTGATCATGGATGGGGAGCTTCATTAACAAGTTGAAGAAATCCCGGACTCTAAAATCAAGCAAGGGCGCTTGCATTATCTCATCAGGTGGAAGGACTTTGATCCTAGCCATGATGAGTGGGTGCTCCAGGAACATGTTAAAGTCCCTAAACTGGTTTGTGCAATTGGGAGCGGTGGCACAGGGGATTTATCCTCTGGTTAAACAGCTGAGCTGAACAGGACTGCTGTCAGCTCGAGCCCCGCACTGGTGTGAGCTGCCAGTCCGTGTCCCTAGCTCGCTGTCCACCCAGCGGTTTGAAAGCTTCGGCGAGTAGATAAAATGGGTACCACTCCTTAGAGAGAGTGGGCACACTAAACCCCCCGGTGGGGGTTGTGTTAGCCGATCGGATGATCTGTGCGTAATATCCGAAAGCCGAGAAAGATCTACACAGCGTAGAAGAAAAGCCTGCAATAGGCCATTTGGCCAGACGGTGGCAGTGGTGCGCTGCGACTGAGACAATGCTGACGACATCAAGCGACGCCGAAAAAAAAAAAAATGCTGCCGGAACACGTCTGGACCTTACAGCCGACCAAACTCCGTCGACTACGAAATGTGTGTGATTTAAATGATATATGTTGTCCTCCCTTACCCCCAGCATTGTTAGTCCCATGTGAAATTCAGGAGTAACTGTAAATCGCTCAGAGCCGGCAGCTCTGCATGGATTGAGCGATCAATAAATGGAAAGATGATGATGATGATGATGATGATGATGATGATGATGATGATGATGATGATGATATGATTGTATGCTTTCCTTTCTATTGGTGGGCACTGAAGGGGGGGATCGGTGTGTGTGTGTGTGTATCTGCTTTGCTTTGCTTCAGCGCTATATGTTTTCTTAAGCCTCCCAACATATGGGAAGACCAAAGAATGTCCTTGAGAGCTTGGCGTTAGAGATAACATAACAGTAGACATTAAGGTAGGGAGAGAAATGCGGGCTGAGAGTTGTGCAGTGATTGGAGAAATCTCGGGGGGGGGGAGCTTATTCATAGAATCATAGAGTTGGAAGGGGCCATACAGACCATCTAGTCCAACCTCCTGCCCAATGCAGGACCAGCCTAAAGCATATCTGACAAATATCTGTCTAGCCTCTTCTTGAAAGCGGTCAGTGAAGGGGAGCTAACCACCTTTCTAGGCAGCTGATTCCACATTTGAACCACTCTGACCGTGAAAAAGATTTTCCTAACATCCAGCCGATACCTTTCTGTATATAATTCAAACCCATTGCTTTGGGTCCTATCCTCTGCTGCCAACTGGATCAGCTCCTTGCCCTCCTCCAAATGACAGCCTTTCAAATATTTAAAGAGAGCAATCATGTCCCCCCTCGATCTCCTCTTCTCCAAACTAAACATTCCCAAGGCCCTTAGCCTTTCCTCATAGGACTCAGTCTCCAGACTCCTGATCATCCTCATTGCTCTCTTCTGCACGCTCTTGATTTTGTCCACATCCTTTTTGAAGTGAGGCCTCCAGAATGGCCCACAGTACTCAATGTGCGGCCTGACCAAGGCACTATACAGAGGGGCTATGAACTCCTGCGATTTTGATGGTATGGCCCTTTTAATACAACTCAAGACTGAATTTGCCTTTTTTGCCACTGCATCACACTGACTGCTCATATTTAGTTTACAGTCCACCCTTACCCCAAGATCTCTTTCGCATACACTACTCCCCAGAAACGTATCCCCCATCCAGTATTTGTGCTTGACATTTTTGTGGCCCAGATGTAATACTGTGCATTTATCTTTGTTGAATTGCATCCTGTTTGCAACTGCCCACTT